CCCAGACCTTTATAAGATGGATCACTGAAAATTACAAAGTTTTCCGTACCTATGGGCAATGTCAATACTGGTGTAGTGGTTAGTCTCGTCTTTAGTTCATGAAAGGCAGATTCTCTTTCGTCATTCCATTCAAATGGCTGCCTTTTGCGTGTCAGTTAGGTAAGAGGTACAGCGATCCTTGAAAAGTCTTTCACAAATCTCTTGTAATAACCGGCTAAGCCCATGAAACTGCGAACTTCCGTCACATTTGTCGGTGTAGGCCAATTCAAAATTGCCTCTATTTTCTATGGGTCCATTGAAATCCCTTCCTTGTTGATCACATGCCTTAAAAAGATGACTTCATCCAACCAAAATTCACATTTCTTTAGTTTGGCAAATAATTTCTTTTCTCTAAGTGTTTGCAGGACAGTTCTTAAATGATGTTCATGTTTAGGTCTATTCTTGGAGTATATCAAAATGTCATCAATAAAAACCACAACAAATTTGTCAATGTAGGTTTTAAAAATTCGATTCATTAAGTCCATAAACACTGCCGGAGCATTAGTCACTCCAAATGGCATAACAAGAAATTCAAAATGACCATACCTCGTTCTGAATGTGGCTCAAGAAATTCAAAACGCGGATCTCAAATCAATCTTGGAAAACATTTGTAATCCCTACAACTGGTCAAACAGGTCATCAATAAGGGGTAGGGGATATTTATTCTTTATCGTTACCTTGTTCAGTTCTCGATAGTCGATGCACAAAGGAAAAGTTCCAGCTTTCTTCTTCATAAACAACACTGGTGCACCCCATGGTGAAGTGCTAGGCCGGATAAACCCTTTGTCAAGCAGGTCTTGTAACTATTCCTTTAGCTTTTTCATTTCAGCAGTAGCCATTCTGTAGGGAGTTTTAGAAATAGGTTGGGTGCCTGGTATAATTTCAATCGTAAACTCTATCTCCCTGTCCACCAATTCCCCTGGTAATTCATTTGGAAACACATTTGGAAATTCTCTAACAATAGGGATACTGTTCAATTCAACATTCACAGATGGTTCAGACAACACATAACACAAATAACCCTGGCACCCTTTCCTGATCAGTTTACATGCCTTCATTGCAGATATTAAATAAGGCGGAGGTACTACCCCGTTACCCACAAATACAATTTCTTCCTGTTCTGGTGGTCTAAACACAACCCGTTTTGTCACACAATCAATGGTGGCACAATATTTAGTTAACCAATCCATGTCCAGAATTATATCAAAGTGCCTAAAGTTCAAGGGCAACAAATCCACATACAAAATAGCATTCCCAATTCGCATGTCACAAAAACGATATACAGATTTACACAATACAGACTCCCCAGATGGAGCAGACACACGTAGTAGATATGGCAATAATCCTAGAGGTCTACTCAGTCTAGATGCAAATGCACATGTTACGAAAGAGTGCGTTGATCCGGAGTCAATTAACACAAAAGCATCTTGATTGCATATAGAAATAGTACCTGAGACAACTGCGTTAACATTCCGTGTATCGCCCGGAACAAGCGCGAAAACTCTCCCTTGCCTCACGGTATCCCGGTGGTAGTAGATATCATAGTATTTCCCGGCTTCGAGATTGATGTAGTTGAGCTAGCAGCTAACTTCCCACTGTTCTGATTACAATCTCTGGCCACATGCCCTTGTTTACCACATTTAAAACAGGCCCTTGACACACGGTAACAAACCCCACGATGCCTTTTACTACAACTATTACACATTGGGGATGTATCTCAGGAAGAATTAGAAGTACTCGAGGAGCCCGTATTCTGCTTCTTCAAAAATTTATTCTTCGTAAAGAAGCCTTGTCTTTTGTTGCCTTTCCAGTCGGTTGTTGGTTTAGTTTGTCTAGCTATATTAGCTTCCGATATTATGGCCCTGTCTAGCACCCCAATATAGGTTTTCAGCTTCAAGACATTCACCCTCTCTAAAATGTCGCTTCGAAGCCCACCTTCAAAGTGCCTCGCCTTCTTATAATCAGTATCAATCACATGTGGTGCAAACCTGGCCAATTCAGTGAATTTGGCCTCATACTCAGCCACTGTCATGTTGTCTTGTTTAAGTTCCATGAACTCTGATACTTTCCTATCACGGACACATTGCGGGAAGTATTTATCATAGAAAACTTCTAGGAATATCGCCCAGTCAACATCTTTATGATTTTCACGCATTAACATCCACCATCTTCTTGCTTCGTCTTCTAGCATAAAGGTGGCTAGAAGCACTTTCTGTGTCTCCAAACAAGGGAACACCTCAAATAGCTTTTCGATGCCGAGAACCCATGCTTCGGCTTTCAACGGATCTAGTCCCCCATGGAATTGTGGTGGTTTCATTTTCTTAAACTCTTTGGTGAGAGCTATTATTTGGTCATCATTCTGATTATCTGGCACAGGTGGTGCCGGAGGTGGAGGTTGTGGTTGCTGCCACTGTTGTTGTTGCCTCAAGGTTTTTGCCATTTCCTGAATCAATCTTTCCATTCTATCCATTCTGGCAATAGAGGACTCCTCTATCTCATCACCTCTTATTCTCACCATGTGATTAGACTCGCATTATACTTTATACAAAAGATTCATAGGTATGCATCTACCACTACAAAAAAAATTTATTTTTTGCGACGGCAAAACGCCGTCTCAAATACTCCAAATGCCGTCGCAAAAGGCTTTTCTGACGGTAAAGTGACTTTTTGCGACGGCAAGTGAGGGTCGCAACAAAGGGTGTTACAAAAAAGGTTTTAGTTATGCCGTCGCCTTTTTTTTGCGACGGGAAAATGCCTTTTTTGCGACGGAAAATTTCTGTCGCAAATAATGGATCAAAATCTGTGTTTTTTGTGACGACACTGTTTGCCGTTACTAAAGGGGTTTTTTACGACGGCAGAACACACCGTCGCTAAAAGTGTATTTGCGACAGCAAGCAGAGCCGTCGCTAAAGAACTATTGGCGACGGCAATAAAACCGTCGCTAAAGGTATTACATTTCAACCAATTTCCTATCTTTTGTGACAGTAAAGGTGCCATCGCAAAAAACCCTAGTTCAATTTTTTTTTGAGACGGTGTGTGTTGCCGTCTCAAAAAAAAAAATGTAATAAAATTGTTAAAATTATGAAAATGACCTGTATTAAATAAAAAATAACTTTAAAAAAAAACCAATAATTACAAAATAATATAAAAAGTCCAGTATATAAATAAAAATTCATCCATAATTAAAAATATGAAAATTCACCTAGTTCAATTTTTTTTTGAGACGGTGTGTGTTGCCGTCTCAAAAAAAAAATGTAATAAAATTGTTAAAATTATGAAAATGACCTGTATTAAATAAAAAATAACTTTAAAAAAAAACCAATAATTACAAAATAATATAAAAAGTCCAGTATATAAATAAAAATTCATCCATAATTAAAAATATGAAAATTCATCTTCTATTTTTTTCTTTTTGCTGTCATATATTGTACAAGAAAGACTAACTAATTAACAAACTTCATGCAGATACCTTTGCCACAAAACCAAAAAAAAAAAAAAAAAAAAAATTACAAATTAACAATGGACGCATAAGACTTTGCAAACAACTGCAATTAGAAAGAGGTTCCACCCTTTCAATCGATTACCCCATCTGGGAAATCTTCTATGCACTCAATGTAGGAGATAGAAAATCTGCTCCAAAGTCTCCCCCAAGAAAGACAAGTAGCTGTTGTCCATGCTCAGCACAGTAACCCACAAGCTCAACTACATTAGCGTGTTTAAGCTTGGAGACACTAAACACTAGCTCAAGGAAATCTTCATTGCTCTGCTTCCTACAAGCTGTAGTATCGAGTTTCTTGACTACTACTAGCTAAGAAAAACATAATTAAGTCAGAAAAGATTCTGTGTCAACAAAGGAAATAGTATCATCAAACTTCTATTTAAAACAAATCATTCACATTTCCTGCTTTCCAGACCAGAAACCCTCTCAATGAAAGCATTTAACCAACACTAGAAATAAATGAAAATTATCTACCAAAGACACAAACAAAACTATATCAAAATTTGTCTAGTAAATGAAGAAGCATGTTTGATAACCATGATAAATTAATCATGTTTGATGTCCAATCTAAATGATAAATTAGTAAATAATAAAAGTAAACTTAAAAATCAAACAGTGTCTCTTTTGTTTTGTGATTCATCCTTTTTTTTGGCCACAAATTGAACATTTGCATAGTTGGGATTTGGGAACCAAGGGGAGCACAACCCTAAACTATTATGTGCAAAACCCTTTTTTTTTTAATAAAGTTATTAGGATATGTATCGGTATGAACGATACGGTCAATACCAAATAGTATCGACAACTAATATCAATTAATAATGGCATCAGAAGTCCAAAATCCCAAACCATAACAGCTAACATTTAAAACTCTGGCAAAACCTCTTCATATTTGGTTTTTCATTTTTCAGGAGAAAGAGGGCTAAATATATCTTTAAAATTAAACAGAGAAAATAGATTGCCCCATTCCTTGGTTAATCTATATCAGCAGTCAGCACTAAAAGACCAAATAAAACAACAAATCATAAAAATATAAAATTCCAAAACAAAATTAATTCAAAAAATAAAATATTGAAAAGTAACGGAAGCACTGAAGATTATGGAGTTATTAACTAAACCCATGTCATTTTCGAACAAATTACCCTAAACCCTAAACCCTAAACTTATTTCTCAAACCCAGGATGTGAAATACATTCAAAACAACTTGGGATTAGGGAGATCTGTTTCAAAATAACACGAGTTTAGTGATCAAACTCGTAGATCATACATAAATTTCTAAATCTACACATACTTAACAAAGATCGGAAAATACAAATCGAAAAATACAAATCAAAGCAAAACCATCATCAATATCTAAAATTAAAAGTAAATAAAAGAATACACAAATACTAGATTTGGGGGTTTAAGATTTACTAATAATTGAAGTAAGGAAAACAATATCAAAAAATTTAGACACAGTAGGTCACTAATTTTGGGGTTTTATCATAAGCACATAAAACATACATAATCTCAATAAGAGGTATGATAGTACCTCTGCCAACATGTGGTCAGCTTCATCAAAAACAAGAATCTTCAAATAGTTCGTGCTCAATTTCTTTGCTGTCACCCATTTATTGATTGTACCAGGAGTGCCAATCACTACTTGTGCTATCACTGGTGCTTGTTTTGAAATTGGAACATAATTGCTGCTATCCATTGGTATAGCACATTCAGAAGTAATTCCTGTATAATTCCCCATCTTCTTAAGAACTTCCATGTTCTACATCATTGTCATCCACTACTATTAGTTAAATCCTAAACTCACAAACACTTTAGAGAAAAGTCCCAATAAAATGTGTACACATGATCCACTTGCTACCATTGATTAAATATTAAACTACATGTTAAAGAACACTGATCTTTAAACCCACCAAAGAACCATATATCATTAATTCATCCTTAGTTTCACAAACTTTGCAGAACAGAACATAACAAATACATAACTACATAGACTAGCAGCCAAATAAATAAATAAAATCACCACAGCGAACCCAACCAACAAAACTTAAACACCCACAAACAACCTAAAGAAACCACACACGACCACACTTTCCCCGTTTGGCAATTGGCTATTTTAGTTGATTTTATATTTCGCTTTTTGGTTACAAACCCATTCGCCAAATGAAAAAATTGAGCTTATATTTCATTAACATTTTCCTTAGATTTTCCCATTCCCTATCCAAAGGTTGAGGGGAACCCTGAATTCACAAAGACACTTCAAGGATCAAAAGAGAACAAAATATACATAAAGGAATAAGTAAATATGATTAAAACTCTGAAATCCCAACCCAAAGAGTACCATTAATTAAAATCAAATTCACATGCCAAAAAATATATATATATTAAACAGAGTTCAAACATTTAGATACTTGTAAACATAAACAAATAGAAATTATGTACAGATTTGCATATGTTAACGAACCTGGATCGCCAATTCTCGGGTAGGGCAAATACAGAGCGCCTGAGGATCAGTGAGTTTGGGATCAACACGGCTCAACATGCCAAGCACGAAACAAGTAGTCTTGGCAGAACCATTATGTGCCTGAGCGATCAAGTGCTTGTAAGGAGGGGTCAGAATCATAGGCAAACTGATCGTCTAGATCTTACTCGGCCTCTCAAACTTCATCTTCACATATAAACCCTTCAACAAATCAGCAAACAGATTCAATTCTTCGAACAGGTCTGCTTGCATACAGGACAATTTCTCTTCTTTCCATTTGAAAAATACTCGAACCATTGTTGAATGCTAGGGTTTTTACAAAGGTAAATAACAGAATTTTCAATCGATTAATGTGAATGAGTGTGTGTATATATATATATGAAATATGAATGAGTGATGACTGACCAGAGCTCGTGGAAGACCTGACTGCAAATGGAGATGGATTGAAGGTCTTCGACAATGGGTTTGAGATCTTCGTAGCAGATTGAGCATATGGTCTTCGCAAATGTGTTGCTGCATACCATCTCTCTGCCTCTCTCTCTCTCCGCTCTCCGTCGTCTGCCGCCGCCGCTCGATCGACCGACAGAGAGGGAGGGGTAAGAAGAGATTAGGGCTTTTTGGTTTTGGACGGGCGGCGGGAAACAAAGCGGGAATGGAAAAAAAAAAAAAAAAAAGGGGGGGGAAAGGAAAAAGGGGGGGGGGGGAAGAAAAAAAAAAATCAAATTTTTAATTTTTTTTAAAATTTAAACAATTAAACAACAGCTATTATATTTTTTTTTTTTTTGTCAAACAGGGGAGATCGTCGCTCAGAAAAACTTTATATTTTTGTTAAAATAATTTTTTTTATAATTAGTGTTTATAATGTAGTTACTATGCTTGAAAATTTATTTGTTTCATTTTTATTTTAATGAAAAAAAATTTATTATTATTTTTTTATTTAGTAGAAGTATGGGTAATATTTTAATGAAAAATATTGTAATGGTAGTCGTAGAGGTGAAATGGCGACAGTGGTAGTAATGGTGGTAGTGGAATGGCGTTTTGCAGTAGTGGTGAAGGTCGTAAAAGAGATAGGGGTGGGGAGAGAGAGAGAGATGAGTGAGACAGATAGAGGAGAGAGAGAGAGAGAGAGAGAGAGAGAGAGAGAGAGTGGTGAGCGAAAGAGAGACAAAGTGGTCACTAAAAGTGTATTTTCTTGTAGTGGATCGATAAATCGAGAGGGAGCTCAGTAAATAGAGAAGACGGAAGGAAAATAGTGAGCAACGCGTACACAGTGAGGAAGAGAGAGAGAAAGATAAATAGACAGACCGGGAGAGAAGAGTGATGAGTGAGAGAGAGAAATAAAAGAAAGAGAGGAAGATGAAAAATAGATGAAAAGATATAGAGAGAGAGAAAGAGCGAAAAGAGATAAACGAGAGAGAAACGGAAAAAGATGAGCGAGAGAGCGAGAGGAAAAAAAAGAAGAGAGAGAAAAGAGATAGAGAGAGAAGATAGATGAAAGAGATAGAGAGAAGAGAGATGGATGAGAGACACAGAGAAAAATAGAGAAACAGATAGACAGAGAAGAGTGATGAGTGAGAGAGAGAAAGAGAAGAGAGACAGAGACATAGAGAGAAGGAGAGAGACGGACAGACAGAAAAGAGTGATGAGAGAGAGAGAGAGAAGAGAGAAAGAGACACATAGAGAAAGGGAGAGACAGACAGAGGAGATGGAGTGACAGTTGTGGAGGAGAGGTAATGGTAGTAGTAGTGGCAGTAGTGGTAGTGGAGTGGTGGCGATGATGGTAGTAAAAGTGCATTTTTTTGTAGTAGATCGATAAGGAAAATGCCCTAGACCCCCAGTGGGAGTGACCCTCACCACCCTCACTGTTTTCTGGGGGTGCTGCGGGTCACCTCCCACTGGGGGTCCCCAACATGGTTGGATCGATAAATCGAGAGGGAGCTCAATAAATAGAGAAGAGATGAGGGAGAGAGTGAGAAAGGCAAACACAGTGAGGGAGAGAGACAGACAGACAGACAAATAAACAGACAGGTAGACAGAGAAAGAGAAGAGTGAGAAGAAGATGAAAAAATGGGTGAAAAGATATAGACAAAGAGAGAGAGATAGAGAGAGATAGAGAGAAAAAAAAGAGCGAAAAGAGATAAACGAGAGAGAGAGACAGAAAGAGATGAGCGAGAGAGCGAGAGAGAAAAAAAGAAGAGAGAGAGAAGACAGACAGAGAGAAAAGATAGATGAAAGAGATAGAGAGACAGAGAAGAGATGAGCGAGAGAGAGGTGAGAGAGATAGAGAGATGGGTGAGAGAGATAGAAAGAAGAGAGATGAGCGAAAGAGACAAAGAGAGAAAAGAGATGAGAGAAGAGATAGATGAATGAGAGACAGAGAGAGACAGAGAGAGACAAATAGACAGACAGAGAGAGAAGAGTAATGAATGAGAGAGAGAAAGAAAAGAGAGAGAAGAAGATGAAAAATGGGTGAAAAGATATAGACAAAGAGAGAGAAAAAAAAGAGCGAAAAGAGATAAACGAGAGAGAGAGAGACAGAAAGAGATGAGCGAGAGAACGAGAGAGAAAAAAAGAAGAGAGAGAGAAGACAGACAGAGAGAGAAGATAGATGAAAGAGATAGAGAGACAGAGAAGAGATGAGCGAGAGAGAGGTGAGAGAGATAGAGAGATGGGTGGGAGAGATAGAAAGAAGAGAGATGAGCGAAAGAGACAAAGAGAGAAAAGAGATGAGAGAAGAGATAGATGAATGAGAGACAGAGAGAGACAAATAGACAGACAGAGAGAGAAGAGTAATGAATGAGAGAGAGAAAGAAAAGAGAGAGAAGAAGATGAAAAATGGGTGAAAAGATATAGACAAAGAGAGAGAAAAAAAGAGCGAAAAGAGATAAACAAGAAAGAGACAGAAAGAGATGAGCGAGAGAGCGAGAGAGAAAAAAAGAAAAGAGAGAGAAGACAGACAGACAGAGAGAGAAGATAGATGAAAGAGATAGAGAGAAGAGAGATGGATGAGAGACACAGAGAAAAAGAGACAGACAGACAGGCAGAGAAGAGTGATGAGTGAGAGAGAGAAAGAGAAAAGAGACAGAGACACAGAGAGAAAGAGAGAGACGGACAGACAAAGAAGAGTGATAAGTGAGAGAGAGTGAGAGAGAAGAAAGACAGAGACATATAGAGAAAGGGAGAGACAGACAGATAGAGAAGAGTGATGAGTAAAAGAGAGAAAGAGAAGAGAGACAGAGACAGAGAGATATGAAGATAAAAAAATGGGTGAAAAGAGAAATGTTCAAAAGAGTAAGACGACGTCGTTTATAGTGGATCGATAAATCGAGAATGAGCTCGATAAATAAAGAAGATGGGAGTAAGAGAATGAGCAAGGCGAACATAGTGAGAGAGAAATAGACAAATAGACAAGTAAACAGGTAGATAGAGAGAGAGAGAAGAGTGACGAGTGAGAGAGAGACAGGGAGAGAGAGATAGACAGAAAAAGAGATAGAGAGAGATAGAGGAAGAGATAGAAAAAGAGAGAGAAACAAGAGATAAGCGAGAGATAGACAAAAAGATAGAGAAATAGAGCGAAAAGAGATGAGCGAGAGAGACACACAGAAAAAGAAAGAGACAGAGAGAAAAGAGAAATGGGCGAGAGAGATCGAGAGAGATAGAAAGATAAGAGAGAGAGAAAGAGAGAGAAAAGAAATGAGAGAGATAGAGAGAAGAGAGATGAGCGAGAGAGACAGAGAGAGAAAACAGATGAGAGAGATAGAGAGAAGAGAGATAGACGAGAGACATAGAGAGAAAATGAAAGAGAGAAACAGACAGACAGAGAAAGAAGAGTGATGAGTGAAAGAGATAAAGAGAAGAGAGAGAGAGAGACAGAGAGACAGAAAAATGAAAAAATGAATGAAAAGAGAAATGTTATATCAAAAGAGTAAGACGACATTGTTTTTTTAAATTTTTTTTTGCGACAGAAAGATACCGTTGAATTTATTCAAACCATTTTGTGACTGTATATATATGAAGCTATCTCAAAACCATAATCACCACGCTAGGTTAGAGTTTTCCAAAAACTCTTTTGAGAAAATTATACTTTCTTGTTTTCCGTGTTATATTGTTTTTACTGAATTTTTTAAATATTTTAAGTATTTTTTTTTAATTTTTAGACACACCTAACATAAATACACCTAAAAATTAAAAACAATTGTAAGAAAAATCTTTTAAAAATTCACTAAATACCAAAAATACAATAATTCAATACATTTTTTTTTTGTATTTTTATTTGTTTATTAATTTTTAAAAATATTTTTTCATAATTTTTTTTAGATACATCTAAGTAAGGTGCATCTACAAAAAATATTTAAAATTTTAAAAATATTCACCCAAAAAAAAAAACACGAAAGTCACTTTTTGCGACGGCAGAAAATGTCGTCTCAAAAAAGCAGAGTATTTGCGACGGCACCATTTGTGCTCTGCTTTTTTGAGACGGCAAATGGTGCCGTCGCAAATACTCTGCTTTTTTGAGACGGCATTTTCTGCCGTCGCAAATACTCTGCTTTTTTGAAACGGCAAGTGTGCCGTCGCAAATAGTTCTGTCTCATAAACCCACTTTTCTTGTAGTGTACTAAAGAGCATACATATTCAAATAATTTGCAATGCAAGCAAATCACAAACTTATAGCACATAATTGTTCATATTAAAACATTTAAAGCATATTTTTGATGCTTCCAAATTCATACTTGTCACATAAATGCATCTTAGATCTTTTCTAGACGCTTATTGCTCATTTGGATAAGTGTGCGAGTTATTAACTCGTGCTCTGATACCACTCTGTCATGACCCAAACCCGCCCCCATGGGTTAAGGACATAATCGGCCAGTAATCACGAGATTACCTACGGCCTCAAACCAAATAAGACATAACTCATCAGAGTAGAGGGGCCAAACGGAAGCAAATTTAAAACTTTGTGCTTAGAGTTGTGCTTATATGGCACGTCATAAACAAACCATGCATATACATATTAATAACTCACATCAAAATATATACTAACACAAAGTTCTGTACATACAGGATCATTCAAGTCTAGGTCAACTAATCAAAACTATATACAGTCGTAATCCAAAGTCCTCGCCAACATGACAAAATAAAACAAGATAGC